AGTTTCTGATCGGAATCTTGCTTTTGCATCGCCCCCAGCTTCCTGCTATGCAAAAGCCGTATAGCACAATCTAGTATGAACTTGGGCAACTACATGGCTTGCGGTATGCTAAACAGTGTGCATTCACAGAGTCGACACATTTAATTTCACGCGCGATTTTCGGGAGTACTGTATGTCTGTTTTTCTGGACTAGTATACTTGTCCTTTAAACTCTCAAAGTCAGATGAGTCTCCTATGGTGAGTGAATGATTGCAGTGAGCAAGGTCACAGCGGTGCCAATTCGCTGTCTCAGTGATAGAGTATAGAAGAAAATGGAAATGGGAACATGGGCAGGGAAACCACGAGTTCTCTGTGGCTGTCTGCAGGTCCAGACCGCCTGCCTACGATTACGAAAGAAAGCCACGTAACGCTTCCCAATGATTAATTGTGGTTGTGAGTACTTTATCATATCATCGGAGTGTTAGCGAGACAGTTCAGCACATAAGAAAATCAGTTTTAAGCAGAAGAGAATGGGAGTTGCGAGAGTAATAATCCAATGGCTGGGAGTTTCGAAAGGGGCCGCCTCCGGTTGTGGTTTTTGATGCTGTTTTTAGTGCTTCAAAAGTGTAGACGGCTGCGGAGGGCTCGCGGTCTGTCGCGTAAATAAGAGTACAACTACGTCAACAATAAGTAAAAGCAAAAACCCCATGGTATCCTTCCACTAGTGCAAGAGAGAACATGAATGAATTCTCCGGGCATCGATTTAGACGTGACTTGCACGAGATGCACTTTGCATAACAACCACATCTAGACCTGCACGTGCTTCCGCAGCAGTGTTCCCCATCAAAACATTTTTTGTTGAAAAGGTCTATTGAACTGAGCATAGAACTTTCAAAGTCTATACAGAATTGCATTCTTGGCCCAAATTCAAGGTAAAAAAATTGAACTTAATGACCATTCCACGGCAACATGATTGCTAGAATCCTTTCATGAATTGAACGATATTTCGCTAATCGAATGTGCCCAGTAGGGAACTCAGGAGTTGGAGAGTTGGGTTGAGAGCATTTCATCGCGCTAAGTTGAGCCGAACCCTCCATAGCGACTCCATCGTCATACGTCTTTCCTAGATTTCGACTGTGTGGACAGTCTTTGTTTGAATGTTCCTCTCCGAAGGCTAATGAGGGCGAAGACACCCAGCACTGTGCCTATCTTATCGGAATTACTGGGTGTCTCTGCCCAAACAACCAGCGTGGAGCATGATGGTGGGCACAGCTGCTGTACCTCACTAGTGGAAGGGCTGCGGGAGGGCGTTTGACCATC